ACGCAGTCACTCGATTTGTTAAGTTGTATGAAAATTTGAGTCCTCAAATCACTCAACTTTCAACATCAGAAAGTGAAAGCTTTGACGAAGTGCTTAAGTTGCTTAAGGACTTAAAAAGAGATTTCTGATAGGCCGGTTTCTTCTCCATTGATTACTTCTGAATTTCTATCTCAGAAGTTTATCCAATTCGAAGCCATTCTCAACAAGCAACTTGCTCCTCTCTTTCGCATATCAAGTCTTCTTCCAACCACAAATGCCCCACCTGTTTTCATAGGGGTGCAAGGGGGAGAAAGAAAAACTAGCGAGTCGAAGACTAGTGGAGAAGATGCGAAAGTTGTGGGAAAATTCTTTTCTTCGAAAATCCCGACAACAAAACCAATAATTGTTTCTTCTGAACAGGTGTCTTCAACAGTCGTAACAACAATGCCAATTGCAAGACCAATTTCGAAAGGAATTGTGATTGGTAAATCTTCGGAGACTGGTGGGAGTGGTTCAAAACCAAAAGAGACAACTGGGCAATCCAGCCTTGAAAGATAAAGGGAAATCAATTCTTGTGGAAAAATCGAAAGAAGAAAAGAAGGCTGAAGCAGAAGCTGAAATTGAAAAACTGAGGATTATCCAAAGCATTATGACTCAACGAGCTAGTGATCCAAAGGGAATGGATAAAGGTGATCCATCCAAACGTAATAATTACGAAACAATCGAGGCCAAGGTTGCGTTCAATCACATGTATACATTCGAAAAAGAAACCAAAGCAGAGCTATTTGGTCACAAACACTGATGCAAGCCAGCTGGATTTTCCCATAAACGAAATGATGTTTATCATGCCTCAGTTCAAAGCAGAAGGGAATTTTAAAAATAAAGATGAAGCTACACACATGAAAATTCGTTTTCATGCTGTTCTTGGAAAAGCCCCTGAGGAAGTATGGTCATTGATTAAAATCAAGAAAGTGATAAGTATGAAGAAGGATGTGATTTTCGAAAACACAGTCCAGAATGTTAAGTATGTAGTTGCCAGGGCAAATGGAAAGATTTGCGAATTTACGATTGCTGATTTTCCTTTGATGAACTTGAATGATCTCATACAAGTTGCTTTGCTCTTAAAAGATAAATCATTTTCATTCCTTCAAAACACTGAACCGGATGAATTCAAGCTTGGAGTTGCTCACATCAAGATTTTTATCGAAAATTATTATGAGTGCTTGCCACTAACAGATGTGGAGTTAGCTACTGCCAAGGGAATGGAAATTAAAGCTCCAATGGCTCCTACTGTGACATCCACCAAAACTCAGGTCAGTACTCATCTAGAACTTCGTCATTTTCTTGTGTGCACTTCACTTGGCTCTAGAGTTACAAGTTGAACTAGGTTCACGACTTAATAGATCCCTCGGAACAATTAGTGCATCTTAGCTTGTATTGAACAATCACATTGATATTTTTAAGAACCAACTGAGTGGTAAAGTGCCAAATTTTAACCTTAAGTCTAAACACAAAACTATGTTCGGTAGACCATAACCCAAGGTAAGTTAGCAACCCTAAAATTTCCATATTGGAAAAAAAAAATCTAATGTTTAACAAGGTTAAGTATTCTAAGCTAATACGAACAAAATTAAATCATAATATGAACCAACTATAAAGTTGATGACAAATTCATATAATTCATGATTCGAAATGTGAACCAAAAGTAAAATCCAAGGATATCAAAATCTTACAACCACATATTATGAATCCTTGTTACAATTGTTGAAATATGATAAATTGATTTTTATAAAATTAATAATAGGTTATCATTTTCTAAATTAATTCAACAAATAAAAGTTTGCAAGTTATTACCAAGTGTAAATATTTAAACAAAACACAATAATTAAAACCTTAGGAGATTATGATAATGTTTGAGTTTTATAAAATTTAAAATCTAGATTTATAAAAATTCAAAGAGGCTTTTGTTATTTGATCAATATCAATAAAATACCATCTCCTCTTAAAATTTCGGCCATTAGGTCTTTCCCTCTCCCCTATGCCTTAAAACCTATCATTACTCCTCATTTGAACCACCCACACACTCCATCTCACACTCCTTCTCCAAGAAAACTCTTCCACTTCCAAAACCTCTCCTACACCTCAGAAAATCCTCATTCTCTGTCCTAATTTCGGAATTTTGAAGGTCTTGAAGTGTTCTTGCTTCTCTCAAGATCAAAACCAAGGTGAACAACACAATCCTTCCTCATAGTTTTACGATTTTACTTCCTCTTCTTCATAGTTCTTCTTTACTTTTCGGATTCTATGCCCTCCTATGGCTAGAAATCCTTATTTTCCCCTTGTTGTTTGTAGATTCTCACCATAACATAATATATGTGTTTGAGAAGGTTAAAATCCGGGATCAAACCCATGCAAGGAGTGAAAAGATGCACATATGTTCATATGATTTCAAAAATCGAGTGTTTCATCTTCTTCATTTCTTTTGTGTTCTTACATGACAAAAAGCATTTAAACCATTTCTAGTACATCTTGGATACTCATTCACTCCATGCATGTGCTAGAAATTGGATTTGTGGTGCAGTCCTAGTGTAAGATTCGGTGGTTTCAAGGAGCTCTCTATCACATGAAGGAAACACACACTTTGGGGCCTTGGAATAACCCTAAATCTATGACTTGGATGCATGAACCTAAAAGTTTCTTTTTCTTCTGTAAACTCTAGTTTATTGTTATTTATCTTTGACCATAACTGAAATATGCATGTTGTCTTTGTCAAAGTGCCCCTAAGAAGGCACTCAAAGCAACCAAGGATGACATGCATTCTGTCAGAATATTTTGTTCAGCTTTGAACGGCCACAACTCAGTCATTACTAAACGAAATCACGATATTATTTTTTTAAGAGATAGCTATATGAGTTAGCTTTCAAACCCAATTGGTATTACTGTAAAATATTAAAAATCGGATTTTTGACAATTGTTACAACATAATTGCGCAAACAGCTCTTTTTCTGTGATCATTAGTTTTGGTTTACATGATCAATGGTCTTAAACCAAACCTTAAATCTGGGGAAAAATAGTTTAGAAACTTAACATATCCAAAAAATATTGGCTAAAATTTCATGGATTAAAACCCCACAGAATGTTCTACACAAATTCATGAACTTTCAGCTACATCTACATCTCATGCACTATAATGTGCACGATTTCTTAACTTGTTGGGGTTCAATACCCCTATTTTGCTTCTAAATCTATTTTTAACATATTGTCTTATGAAAGTTCATATATACAAGTGATGATCTGTAAAACCCCAAGGGCTAGAACCAATTCCTTATTTTTCTATAAAAATAGTTATTTAATGGCTATAAATTCAAAATAAACGTTTTCCGAAGAGATAAAATTCTGAAATTTTTTATTATTAATATAATTACATATTAATAAAGCCATGTTAATTTAGACAATTTGTATATTGTTTGGTATTTTATCCATATTTTTCATTAAATTCGAGCATGAATTTATAAATTCAGGTTATTGGACTCAAAAACCCTAACCAATATTTTTCTCAACCTTGGGAACATTTTGGGAACCTGTAAAAATTAAATTGAGAATTTTAGAAACTGTTTACCATTTATTTTGAATTTTCTCTATTAATTGGGTTTTAATTTATAAATAAATATCAAATGACCTTCAAAAATGTCTACAAAATTTATGGACACCAATGTCCTTTGTTAAAACCAGAAAACCATTTTTTTTTTGAATTTTTGGAAATTATTTCCATGCCTTTGTGAAATTTTGAACACAGTGCATTATGAATTAATGTTACCGATAATGAATCGTACACACTTTGGGCGCTTTTACGACACCACTAGTTGGATAGGTAGTTCCTAGAAAAAATAGCTTAGTAAATTATATCTCACTAGAAACTATTTGTTCCATAGGACGCTATTAGGATTCGCACTCACCAACATCAACCTGCGAAGCCCGAGCCGCAAACTTTCCATTGTGAGTTTTCACAGCCCCTATTTTACGTTTTAATGTTTTGGGGTGAAAAGCATGCTACAATTTCTATGAACATTATTTTACGAGCTTGTGTTATGAACTTAGTGATGTGAACTTTGTTGTATGAACCTTTTATTATGAACTTGTACTATGAATATGGTGTTATGAAATTGTATGTTAAGTCCCCGGAGAACCGATACAACCTATTAACTCATATTTGAGCCGATGGTCTTATGAATAGCGCTATTTGGGGTCGACAACCCCCACTCGCCCGGAACCGCGAGTGCATATTTCCATGAACTGACATCATGGGAACCATGGACATGATGGAATGGGGCAGGAACGGTCGTTAGGCTTGGTTGTGAACGGAATGCAATGACATTCATCGTTTTCTAAATTGGAACATTTATAGAATAAACTACATTTTTGAAATAGTGTATTATTATAAACCTGTGAACTCACCAACTATTTTATAGTTGACCCTCGTTTTTGCATGCTTTTTAGGGAACGGTCAGTGAATCAACAAGACGTTAGCATGATTTAAGTTGTTACGTTTGCTATGTATTAAATTATGTATTGTGAAAACTGAATGTATTTGTTTTGTACGCGATGTAAACTTAAAACGCTTAATGTTTATGGTTGGTACTTCTATTTACCTTTGTGATGAGACCTTAGCCTGTCACTCTTCGTGTTTCCGCTTTAACGGGGTGTGACAGATTTGGTATCAGAGCCTAAGGTTATAGAGAATACCGGCTTCCCCTTTCCCTTAGGGACGCCTAAACTATAACCATTGAGTTAATAAAACATGTCATTTAGTAGAAGTAATTTCGGTAATGCGCTACTGGACCTTAATTATACATAGCCTGATCACCTATGTATAATTAAGGAAGAGTTAGTGCAAGACCGGAATTGATTATAGTGAATGGTATCAACACCCTAGGATAAACATAAACATAAAACATAATAGAAATTTTCTAGAAGGCTAAAAATTCATCTAAACATTAGAGTTTCTCGTGTACAGCGTAGCCATGTCAAACACTAGCTCTCAAGCACTTGGATCGGCAGATGAGTCTGGTTACGTCACTGCGCGCCCGAAAGTCAACTGCGACTCGAGCACCGAACCGACTGAAGATCCGTCTACAGGAGCAGAGACTGGAGAGGAAGTGAGCAGCCAGGCACCGACTGAGGAAACTTCAGCCCCGCCGATACCCGAGCCTTCGCGACAGCTGACGCCTCAGCCACCCCTTTATGGACTATACCACAGGAGGACAGCGAGAAAGAGCGCACCAATGCCGAGAGAAGTGTTGAGGTTCGAGCGTCCAGAACCCGTGCCAGCACCTCCCGCACCAAGGAGTGAGCGTCTCGAGCCTAGTCAGCCTCGACCCCCAGTCATAGGGACGCCTTATATGCGAGCACCCGGGATGACATGTCAGGAGCGACGCAGCATGGAGGCCATGGCCCGAGACCTGCATGATGCCCGTAGTAGGATTGCTTATCATCATCACAGCATAGCCGACATGTCAGACGTGGTGGATGCGATGTGTGGTTATGCATACTCCGCCCAAAGGACTGCAATCAGAGCTATGATCACTAGCGCTATCGCTGGAGGGCTAGCATTGATTCTGGCAGTGGCACTTGTCTGGGTGATTGTGTTTTGGGGTTGAATCTAAACGTCATGGTTTATGTTTTGTCGTTTTTGGTCTATGTATTTTGATGTAATGCCTTTGGTTTATGGCTTTTGGAACTATGGTTGAAGTGTCTTTTGTAGCTTGCAGTATCAAGCAATATGCTTTGTTAAACCTTTTATGTACGAACTACGAATGAAATCTATTTTAATGATTTTCAATCACCATGTTATTTCACACTTATATTTTTCATGAACTGTAAATTGTTTTGATGATTTGAAATCGTTCTTGAAAATATATTTTATTATTATTAATATTATTATTTCTTTGAAAAAAACTAATTAATAATGACAATAACGTCCTTAATTTTTTTTGTGTGTTATAGAACCATGCCCCAAAGAAGAAACACCCGCTCACGCCCAACACAGCCTGAGAATGCCACTCCCGATATTGCTCAACTGGTCTCGCAACAACTGATGGCTGCTATCCCTAACATTGTGGCTCAAGTCACTGCGGGAATCAATGCTAGTCAGACAAACCATGGAGGCCCTACACCTACTGAGAACACCGAAGGAAGCGGAGTTCGTAATGAGGAAACAAGGGGATGCACCTATAAGTACTTCATGTCTTGCAAACCCAAGGAGTTTCATGGAACAGAGGGTGCAGTGGGATTGTTGAAATGGATAGAAGGAATTGAGGCTGTACTCCACATCAGCAAGTGCTCAAATGACTGCAAGGTTCCCTATGTTGCATGCCTTCTCCAAGACAGAGCCTTAACGTGGTGGAATGCGCAAGTCCGGAACCATGGAAGGGAGGCAGCGAACCAATTAGCTTGGGAGGAATTCAAAGAGTTAATAAAGAAGGAATATTGTCGTAAGGATGAGATCCAGAAAATGGAATCTGACTTCTGGAACCATGCCATGGTAGGAGCCGATGTGGAAGGCTACACTGTGCATTTCCATGAACTCGCTGAACTAGTGCCGCACATGGTCACCCCTGAGAGCAAGAGGATTGACCGATACATATGGGGTTTAGCACCAGAAATCCGAGGCATGGTTACTTCAGCAAATCCTACCTCAATCCATAGCGCTATAGACCTGGCGCACCACCTTACGAATGATAAAGTGAGGGCCGAGATATTGACCATAAGCAACGCAAGTAACAAAAGAAAATCGGAGAACCAGCTGGGAAGGAAGAAGAATGACAACTCAGAAAAGAACAAGAAAAGGGCAACAAACTTTGCGGTTAAAACAGAGGAACCTGTGCAATACCGAGGGCCTAAACCTAAGTGTGAGAAATGCAGCTATCATCATGAGGGTGCCTGCCCTATCTGCCACAAGTGCAATCGAACTGGACATTTCGCAAAGTATTGCCGGATAGATAAAGATCGCAAGGATGGTGAACGGGCATGCTATGAGTGTGGAAGTGTGGACCACTTTAGGAATGCCTGCCCGAATCTGAATAAGGGCCCCAATAACAACAATACCAGGAACCAGGCGGGACATATAAACCGTGGAAATCCAGGAGGCCAGGCTCGTGGGCGAGCATTTGTGATTAAGGCGGAAGAGGCTCGCCAGAACCCGGAGGTGGTAACAGGTACATTCCTCCTAAACAACCACTATGCATCAGTATTATTTGACTCGGGGGCAGATAGAAGTTTTGTGTCACATGAATTTAGACCCCTAATCGACTTGAAATCAAAAATATTGGAACATGCCTACATAGTTGAAGTTGCTGACGGTCATGAAATTAAGGCTAGGGAGATAGTTCCTAATTGTACCTTGAACTTAGCTGATAAATTTTTTAGTATTGACCTTATACCCATTGAACTTGGAAGCTTTGACGTAGTGATTGGAATGGACTGGTTGTCCAAGAATCGAGCAGACATAGGATGCTTTGAGAAAGTTGTCAAAATACCCCTCCAAAACAACGAAACCCTTATAGTGTACGGAGAGAAACCAGGCAAGAACTTGAAGATAGTCTCATGCATGAAAATTCACAAATATCTGAGGAAGAAATACCTTGCGTTCTTGGCTCATGTAGTGGAAAAGAAATCAGAAGAAAAACATATTCAGGATATTCCAATAGTGCGAGAATACCCCGAAGTATTCCCAGAAGAGTTGCCTGGACTCCCCCCAGCAAGACAAGTCGAATTCAGAATTGATCTAATTCCTGGATCGGCACCTGTAGCTAAAGCACCTTACCGCTTGGCACCTTTTGAAATGCAAGAACTTTCGGGCCAACTTCAGGAACTTTTGGAAAAAGGATTCATTCGTCCAAGTTCCTCACCATGGGGTGCACCAGTCTTATTTGTGAAAAAGAAGGATGGATCGATGCGAATGTGCATCGATTATAGAGAACTAAATAAATTGACTATCAAAAATAGATACCCCCTTCCTCGAATAGACGATTTGTTCGATCAACTCCAGGGTGCCACGTACTTTTCAAAGATTGATCTACGATCGGGATACCACCAATTAAGGGTACGCGATGAAGATGTTCCTAAAACCGCCTTCAGGACTCGTTACGGACACTATGAATTCCTAGTTATGCCTTTTGGGCTAACTAACGCGCCAACTGCCTTCATGGATCTTATGAATAGGATTTGTAGGCCGTACCTTGACAAGTTTGTGATCGTGTTCATTGACGACATACTAGTCTATTCCCCAAACAAAGAAGAGCATGAACGACATCTTAGGTTAGTTTTGGAACTGTTGAAAGACCAAAAATTATTTGCAAAGTTCTCTAAGTGTGAATTTTGGATTAGGGAAGTACGATTCCTTGGTCATGTGGTTGTAGAAAAAGGAATACACGTGGATCCCACCAAAGTTGAAGCAATTAAGAAATGGGAAACCCCAAGATCCCCGACGGAAATTCGGCAATTTCTGGGATTGGCGGGCTATTATAGGCGCTTTATTGAGAACTTCTCCAAAATTGCCCAACCACTGACTATTTTGACCCAAAAGGATAGGAAATTTGAATGGGGAGAACCACAAGAAGATGCCTTCCAATTGCTGAAACATAAGTTGTGTAATGCGCCAGTCTTGGCATTGCCAGATGGTGTGGAGAACTTCACAGTGTATTGTGATGCGTCACACCAAGGTCTGGGTTGCGTACTGATGCAGAAAGGCAAGGTTATTGCATATGCGTCAAGGCAGTTGAAGGTTCATGAGAAAAACTACACAACCCACGACCTAGAATTAGGAGCGGTGGTATTCGCCCTTAAGATCTGGAAACATTACTTGTACGGAACTAAGTGCACTATTTATACTGATCACAAAAGCCTACAACACATCTTAGATCAAAAGATGCTTAACATGAGACAGAGGCGGTGGGTAGAATTACTCAACGACTATGATTGCGAAATTAAATACCATCCAGGAAAGGCCAACGTTGTAGCCGATGCGTTGAGTAGGAAGGAAAGGGTGAAACCCTCACGAGCACATGCCTTCGGAGCCCTTGTTCAAACCAGTTTGAAGAGCGAAATCCTTGCTGCTCAAGGCGAAGCGTTAAAAACTGAGAACTTTAAACGTGAAACATTGCACGGCCTGGAACAACAATTTGAAACACGTTCAGATGGAGTGAAATACTTCAAAAATAGGGTATGGGTACTAAAGATCGACGAATTACGTAAGGTAATTTTAAAGGAAGCCCATAATTCCCGATACTCGATCCACCCTGGAGCCGACAAAATGTACTTGGATCTAAAGGAATACTATTGGTGGCCTGGAATGAAGAAAGATATTGCCTTGTATATTGAGAAATGTTTAACTTGTTCCAAAGTGAAGGCCGAATATCAAAAGCCCTCCGGTTTGTTCAACAACCAGAAATACCTCAATGGAAATGGGAGCAAATATCCATGGATTTTGTTACCAAGTTGCCAAGGACCACAAAGGGATACGATTCTAAACGAGATTGTAGCACGCCACGGGGTACCTATTTCCATCATTTCAGATAGAGATAGCCGTTTTACATCTAGATTTTGGCAGTCACTTCAAAAAGCCTTGGGGACCCGTTTAGACTTAAGTACCGCCTATCATCCCCAAACAGATGGTTAGAGTGAACAAACCATCCAGACATTAGAAGACATGCTCCGGGCTTGCGTGGTCGACTTTGGAGGAAGTTGGGATAACCATTTGCCATTAGTCGAGTTCTCCTATAATAATAGCTACCATACCAGCATTCAGTGTGCCCCCTATGAGGCCTTGTATGGGCGTAAATGTCGCTCCCCACTATGTTGGCTAGAAATTGGTGATAGGCAGTTAACGAGACTGGATTTAATTCAAGAAACCACTGAGAAGATCTTGATACTACGTGATAGACTGAAAGCAGCTCGTGATCGCCAGAAGAGCTATGCTGACAAGCGTAGGAAACCCTTGGAATTTCAAAAGGGAGACAGATTACTCTTAAAAGTATCCCCATGGAAGGGAGTCGTGCGTTTTTGTAAACGATGAAAACTGAGTCCCCGTTATGTAGGACCCTTCGAGATTATCGAAAGGGTTGGTCCAGTGGCATATAAGCTCAAGCTACCGGATGAACTGAGTGCGACACACGACACATTCCATGTGTCGAACCTCAAAAAGTGCTTGGCGGAGGAATCCCTACACATACCCCTCGGTGACCTCCAAATTAATGATCGACTAAAATTCCTGGAGGAACCTATAGAAATCCTCGATCGAGAGGTTAAGCAACTAAAACGAAGTAAAATACCGATCGTGAAAGTTCGTTGGAACTCTAAGCATGGGCCCGACTTTACTTGGGAACGAGAGGATTTCATGAAGAACAAATATCCTCAACTATTCGTTATGTTCGAACCAGTGTTACCGCCAGTTGAATTTTGGGACGAAATTCCCACAACTGGGGGAGACTGTGACATCCACCAAAACTCAGGTCAGTACTCATCTAGAACTTCGTCATTTTCTTGTGTGCACTTAACTTGGCTCTAGAGTTACAAGTTGAACTAGGTTCACGACTTAATAGATCCCTCGGAACAATTAGTGCATCTTAGCTTGTATTGAACAATCACATTGATATTCTTA